GCGCTCTCGCTGGTCCTCCTTGCTGAGCTCAAAGTTGTAGGGGAACAGCTCGGCGTTGGCCTTCACGCTCTCCGTCACCGTACGCCGCTGCGCCCGGTACTTGCTGCCCAGCACATATTCCGCCATCACCTGTGTGCGTGTGCGATCGTGTGTGCGTTGCATTAGCACGGCGCATAACGATGAGGAGTGGAGGGAGCGGTACGTCGACGTTGAAGTCCTCTACGCGCTCCTCGCCCAGCTGACGCCGTTCCTCCTCGCGTCGCTGCTTGCGCTGCTCCTTCTTGAGCCGGAGCTTTTCCTGATCCACCTCCTTGGTCTTGGCCGCGTTGTTGACGGCCAGACCGCTCATGCTCTCCGTGACCAGGCCCATATGCCGAGCCACCGCCCTCGCGCGTCGCGCGGCCGTACGCGAGCTCACTGCCGCATTCGTGTTCATCTTCTCCATCCTATCTATCGTTGTCCTGCAAATCACTCCTCCTTCTCTCTGCGATTGTGCAAATGGAATGAAAATTATAAATATGAATTAATTTGTACAAAATGTGCGTTGGAGTGCTGCAGCCGCTGAGGTTTGATGTGGATGGTGGGGTGTAGTAAAGCAATGCTTCGCTCTACGTACCCAGTTGTGCGACAACTGCTGCTCTGGGAACCAGCTTGTTTCCGTTCTTCGATTACTATTTCTTTGTTTATTTTTCTTTTTCGTTGGTTTTGTTGCGTGTGCGGTATGTCGGGAATGCACGCGTGTTGTGTGCGGTGGCGAGTGCGTGTGCGACTTCTGGCTGTGTGCTTCACACAGAAAGTTAAAGGGGTCCAACGAAGGAGCGCAACGCGAAGACCCTGAAACTGCTGATCTCGAGGTCTATTCAACAAACACTGTGTAGAGGATCACACGTGCGTGCGCCCTGGAAGTCGAAAGTGGGTCTCGCGAAGGCTACAAGACGTCGGTGTGGGTGGACCCCTACGCCTGCTTCTCCTGCGCCCTCTTGAGCTTCTCCTTTTCGATGAGCATCCACTTCTTCCTCCTCTTGTACCTGCACCAGCCACCCAACAGAGAGGAAAAGGGCAAACGCCATCAGCCATCGTGGTGGTCTCTACAAAGCCTTGGCCAAACATGGCACAAAAGAAGACTCAAGCTCCATGAGTGCAGTATTTGGATTCATGAAGATGGAAGCTCGAGAGATGGAAGTAGGGGCGCGTACTCTTCGTACTGGCAGCCTTCGTAGACGTGACGCTCATGGGTGCACTTCCAGGGGAGGTAGAAGCACTCCTGCCTGCAGCGGTTGAGCGGCACCAGCAGGTGGGCGCAGTAGTCCCGGTAGCCGATGGGCAACCGCTCCGCGTCCATCTCCTCCTCGGAGATCAACATTTCTAGACACGTAGAGAAAAATGGGCACAAGATTAGTGATGGCCGTGGTGATTTACTGAAAATTAAAGCGAGCGAGCTGCTTGTATAAATCCCGGCCCAATTGACACTCCAACCGGGGGGGGGGGCATTTGGCGACATCTGGTCGAAGTCCACGGCGAGGAACCGATTTAAAAAGCAATAGAAAAGAGTGTACCCCTGGGCTGGGAGAGCTCAGCCTCCATGTCCTCAAGGCTCTGCTCGGGCTTCTCGCCGTGGTGCGCCATCTTCTAGTGGATGAAAAAATCAATGGACCCAAGGAAAAGTGTATTCCTTTTTCATTTCTTTTCTTCCCATCAATTAGGTTTATTATTATATTTTTTATTGCTGGAACAGAATAAAAGCAGGCCGATGGAGCAGCAGGGGGCGTGGCGTCGAGAGTGGAAGACGGACGAGGAGCGCTACAACGCTGCTTTCCACTGGGAGGTAGCTGGCCGCCCCATCACCATTCGGCAGAGCCGAGGTACGTTTGCCCCTACGCTCACACTTTTGGGGTGGTGAGGGGGAATATTGTCTGACCTTTGCGCCTGGTTCTGTCCCCAGTCACGTCGCCCGGCACGGTGGGGGGCACGCTGTGGGACAGCAGTCTCGTGTTGGCCAAGTACCTGGAGCGCCAGTACCACCCCGACGGGCTGGCCGGCCGTCGCATCATCGAGCTCGGCAGCGGCTGCGGCCTGGTCGGGACATCGCCGCTGGTACGTACCGTGCTCGCCCACGCCC